CTTTCTTTATTTTTTCTTTTACTTCCCACCTGCAGGCGACCTCGCAGCCGCCGCCGCCGCCGTGAGAAAAAAAAGGCGAGAAGGCGGGCAGACGCGCGTGCCAGCGAAGCCACGCGTGGAGAGGAGCCAAAGAGGGAAAGGGAAAATAGTAATAATAATTGCCATTACATATTTTGTTTTTGTTTTTGTTTTTGGGAAAAGAGGGAGGAGGAAGGGCAGAGTGCATGCGTGCGCGTGTGCACGGGCCCGCAACGCCCTCGCCAGCCACGTACTTCTTGCGGGTTTGTGCGTGGGAGGCCAACGACAAGTAAAAGACGGGCGACGCGCCAATAAAACGTCGTGTCTCCCGGCGCGGGGGGGCGCTATTGCGTTTTGGTTTGTTGTTGTTTTTTTTTGTTTCTTCTTCGTTTTTCTTTTCTTTTTGTGTGTGTGTCACGCGCGAGACAGCGAGAGCAGCCAGGCGGGGGCCTCATCCATCCACGTTGTGCTCAGTTGCATCCTGCGGAGGGCGCCGTCGCCCGCGTCGCGGTGCCCCGCCGCCTCCGCGCAGAGCCTGAAGAGGGGGAAGGAGCGCAGCCCGGCAAAGGCGCGGAGCAGGAGGACGCACGTCAGGGAGCGCCACGGCGACGGGGAGGTCGCGTGCGGGGGGCGCCACATCCGCTCCAGCGCGGCGCACAGCTCACGCACGGCGGGCTCTGCAAAGCCCAAACCGCAGCAGAACACCACGAGGTGGGGAGGCGGCCTCGTGCAAAGCTCCCCCGGCGTGCCCCCGCCGTCGGCAAGAGGAAGAAACGTCTCGTTGGAAAGAAGCCCAGGCGCAAAAACATCGGCCTCGCCCAACACAACACGCACGTCCCCACACACCCGCCGCTGCCCCACGCACCATCGCCGCTGCGTGGGCGAGTACACGAGCGGCTGACTTCCCCGCATCGCACGTCTTGCGATGCGCAGTCGCGAGGGCGCCAACTCCAACCCCACGTGCGTCCAGTCGCACGGCAACGCGTCGCGCTGCGCCAACAGAGACCACTCAAACAACAGCTTCCCCGTCCCACATCCAAGATCCACCCCCACTATGGCGGCAGAGGGACTCTGCTGGCAGGAGCCGTGTACCGCTTCTCCCTTTGCCTTTGCTTCGTCAGAGTGTACAACGGCACCAGCGCGTGCGAGACACTGCAGTAAAGTGCGATGGAGCTGACGAACGCCCTGCGATGTGAGTTCCCCGTAGAGCTGCGGGGCCGCGCCCGTGCCCGTGCCCGTGCCCGTGTCTGCGTCCGAGGCCGCGGTAGCGCTCGGCCCAAGTGCGGAGAACTTGGCGTGCTCAAAGGCCTGTGCATCCTCCCGGTCCAGGGCGTATCCGTCGTCCAGCCCGTCATAAGCGGCGTGTAGCTGCTGCTCAATCGAGTCCAAGAATCCCGATGTCTTAGCGGGCCGTAGCGGCCCCTCGAGCCGCATCTTCCCAAGCATCAGCTCGGCCGCGCTCGCCCCGCCGCCAACCTCCCCGACCGTCTCCTGGACACCGGCAGCAGCACAGTGATGGAGACGCGTGGCGAGGGCGGTGCAGGCCTCCGCGTAGAGCGCCAGCTTCATCTCAAACACCACCTCGCACTTCGCCTGCGTCGCGTGGAACCAGGCATCCATCATCCCCCGCCCCGGAACAGGCATCGATAGAGCCCCTTCGCGAAAGAAGCAGGGAGACAGAGAGACAACACCTGTCGAAGCACCCCCACCAGACGTCCTGCCGCATCGTCCCTTCCTTCGAGCAGAACTCAAACTGCGGGGAGGTCCCCCTGCCAACGCGTAAGGGGCGGCAAGAAATCCAAGACAACTCAAACGAAAAACAAAAAAAATGAGGGAGGAAGGGAGGGAGGTGAAATAAACAAAAAAAAAGTGGAGAGGACACCTTGGCACCCCACCCAGCGACTTTTATTCACCCCTCCTCGTCCTTCCTTTCCCGTCTGTAGGAGTAGGCCAGAAGAGGGAGGCCACGGCGGATCTTGCACAGTTCATTGGTAAAAAGCAGCAAATGTTTTTTTTTTAAGAAACAGAAAAAATAAAGGTAAAGGAACATCTGTAACGTGACGACGCACGAATCATGACTTCTCGCGTCACGTACGCGTGGATCATCCTTCAGTCTGTCATTTATTTATTTTTTTTTTATTTGCCTTTTGGTGGGTGGTGCGTCTCTGTGTGTGGGCCACTAGCCCCCTTGGTAACGGCGCTGGAACGCCTGAAATCGCGCGGAGGGGACGCCGCCGGAAAGGTTCAATGACTGGCCGCGCCGCAGACCTCGTCTCGGGCGCCGCATCCGCGCCGCCGATGGCCCTGAAGCCCAGAGCTGGGGGACGGAAGAGTGGGGCCACCCAGCATGCGGCTCCTGCGCGGCGGCGTCCCAGTCGAATCCCGCGGCACGTCCACCGCCCCCGCTGCCGCGGTCTGATTGCAAGAAAGCCCCCCTGGACAATGCAGGAGGCATCCACCAAATCTGATTCACGGAATTTGTCACTGAGGCGAGGCCTAAGGCGGCGCTGGGTGCTGCGCCCGGGGGCTCTGGCGACGGACACTCCTCCGCAAACGGCTCATGCGGCGGCGGAGGAAACAACACGCCTTCAAAGCCCGTCGGATCGAGCAGTTCCGCATATATATTGTCACTGTGGGTTGGGGCCCGCCATCCGCGCGCTTCTGCCGTGAAAGTAGTGCTTGCGCCTGAGAAGCAGTCAGGAGCGACGCTGGTGACATACTCTCCGCCGCCCCCGCCTGCTACCGCAGGCTCACCGTACTCTTCAAAAAGCAGTTCGCACGGAAAGTCGTAGCTTGTCAATGCAGTTACGGGTTCCTCCGCAAATGCGACGGTCTGCTCGGACTCTGGGTGCTGGCTGGAGGAGACGAAGGGTGCACGGTGGTCCAAAACGGCATTCATTGGGTCATGATGCGCCTCCCCTCCCCACATCAGCGGAGGAAAAACATCATTCCCGCGCTGCAGCTCCAACTCCTCGGCAGACTCGGGTAAATGCCACAAGAAACACCCCTGTGAGGCCCGCGCTGTGGCATCCGAGGCAGACCCCAGCTCGCTTTCCCACTCCGGCACATGCGGCGGCGGCGAACGCGTCGCCTCGGTCCAGCGCCCATCGGTGTCTGGCGCCCCGCAGCCACTGTGGCGGGGCCCCGCGCCCCCAGACCCCGCCCGGGCCAACACCGCAGCCTCCCCACGCGGACAGCTGCAAGCCCGCTGCGTCGCGGCAGCGAGCGCCAGGGCGTGTTCTCCCGACCCCGAATACGGCAGAGCCACGTTGCACACCGGCGTGGGCCATCCCTCTGGTGCCTCCTGCCGCGGCGCAGTCACAGCAAGTGCAGCAGGCGCAGCGGCAGCGGCGGCGGCGGCGGCCTTCACAGACCACTCCAACGCCGTACAGTCCACACCGGTCTCTCCGTCTTCGCTCGTTGACGACGTCGGCGATCGCCTGCCGCCGCCGCCGCCCCCCTCGTGCGACGCTGGCACGGAAGCATTTTTGCAGCCGCGGGGTCTGCTGGAGAAACGCTTCGGTGCGCTGCGGCTATCGCAGGAAAGCCGACGCCCCGCACGCCGCCCATGCGAGGCAGCCCGCAGGTCGTGATGCGTGTCGTGGCAGCGGCCGACGCTGACGCCGGTGTCGGTGCCGATAGCACCGGCCCTGTTGGAGGAGGCGGCGGGCTGCCGAAACGACGCCCGGGCCCTGCTGCCACCGGTCCAGCGGAGCATCGCACAGCCACCACCAGCGTTCACGACAGCTCCGCCGCGCCCTCTTTTTTCCTTTTTCTTGTTTGGCGTGCGCCTCCGTTTGCGCCTTGAATGTCTTCAGGGCACCAAAAAGAGAGAAAAGAAAAAAAAAGGAAAACAGCAGGGGCAGTGGCTTCCACGCAGGCGCGGGCGGGACACACACACACACAAGCATCGAAGAAACGCAACAACAGAAAAAGTGCATGGCAGCCACTTCGCCCGCACAACGTCTGTCAGACAGGCACCGACGGCTCACCGATTCGTGCGCAAGTGTCGCCGCACACGTTCGCCGAGAGTCGGATGGAGTGAATGGGGCAGAAGGCGTGAGTGAGCGAGCGAAACAACTGCGGCGCCCGTGCGACACAACACGGAGGCGGTGCGGGGAACGAATGTGCGTCGCCCGCCCGGCCGTCTAGAAGGGGCGGATTCCGGCCAACTCCTCCCCAGTGAAGGGCGTCGCACTGTGCGGCAGACCCTTCTCCGTCATGAGGGCCAAAATGCGGTTCACCGCCACACCGTACGTCACAACTCGGACTTCGGTGAGCAAACCAAAGCGACGATACGCCTCCATCGCGACCGCACGCATCTCCTGCTGCGCACTGAGCCGTCGCATGGACCCATTTTTTTTTTTCAGCTGGCGCTGCCTTAGAGAACGTTGCCGCGACCCCCCTCAACGCCGCATGCCCGCGCAGGGAGACGCACACGCCGACCCCGCTGCGTTGTTGTTGTTGTTGTTGTCTTACTTCTGCTTCGACCTCCGCGGATGCCCGTGCGCCTTTGCCGTTTCCCAGCCGCCGCACCGGCCCGGCGAGGCCAGAGAAGCGGCGGGGAAACCGCAGGGGCTAAAACGCAGGAAGGCATAGAATCACACACAAGACACAAAAATAAGAGGAAGAAACGTGAGACGACACCCGTTTCTGCGGGGAGCCGGCGCAGAGGGGCAGAGCGAGCCGGCACGCGAAGGGAGAGGCCAGCGCGGCGGCACCACCCCGCCCCATCGCCGCTGCACCCCACACGAAGAGGGGGAAGTAGGAAAAGATACATATATATATATAAAGCAAGCAACATCACCACCTAGACAATTGCCAGATGAGCAACAACTGCCGAAGAAGAAGAAGAAGAAGAAGGGGAAAAGTGGGAGTGGGGTGGGGGGGGGGGGGGGCGCGGCGTCTGCGTGAAATCAAGAGAGAGAGACAAGAAAAAAAGAAAAACGAAAAAAAAAAAAGACGAACGACGACACACGGAGAGTCAGAAATGTTTGCGTGCGTTTGCGTGCGCCTCAGGCAGCGCACACGCGGGCGCACGCCCCACCCCACTCCCCTCCAAGTCACGTAAGGAACGCACCACAGTGAGAGTAGTTGAAAAAGATGTAATCGAATAAAAAAAAAAGTGGGGGAACACAAAACAAGACAAACAAAAAAGAAAAACAACAATAGGAGGATGTCACTGCTTGCTGCAGCTGCGTCTTCTGCGGGGCGGAAAGGAGCGAGGGACACGGATGCAGG